TAAAACATGATTATGTAGTTTGAATTTTCTGTTTCTCTTTGAAAATCGGTGAATTTTCTGAAAAAGCGGAATATTTATAAAAAAAAGTGAAATTTTTAGAAAAATCTGAATTTTTGATAAAAAAAAAAAGCTGAAATTGAAAATAAAAAAGTGAAAAAAGCAGAAAAATCCTATCCCTGGTTTTAAAAATTATCTTTAATTAAATTCATTTAAAAAGATTCACAATTGCAATAAAGAATTTTCTTTAAAAAAAATATTCTTTTAATGTCAGAGTAGGAGATCTACTTTTTAAGTTTTAATAGTTGTAGCATCTTAAGAATAAATTAATGCACATGTGGAGAAGAATATACTCATTACCCATTTTTTTCGCATCTATTTCGGTTTCGCATCACAGTTAACAAACCTGCTAACTTTTGGGCAGAAATTGCCCTAAATATTCAAAATTTCTGTTTTAACTTTTAATTTATAAAGATTTTGACCCCCTCAATTTATAAGCAACAATTTGAAAAAATACATAAATGAGAAAAATCTTAAAACCTTTTTCTTACTTAGTAATCTTTTAACTACCAATACCACTTTAAATAATGAGGAAAACAAGAACTTCGGAGTTGGCAACTGAGTTATGTATAAATGATTAGCTGTTTTAAGGCCAGGGTGATATTAACAACTCTTCCCTTTAAATTTTAATAAAATGGTTAATACAGATACACATTTCATTTCTCCTTTTGAATTCTTATTGTCTATAACTCAAGAGTGTAGCCGAAGATTGTAAAATCATTAATATGCTCACATTGTTTTAAGTTCAACTACATTGGTTATCATTTCTCCCTCCAAAACATTATGCATATTAAAATATACTTCTTTATTAAATTTATTTGCATAAAAATTCAAATATACTTACTATTGGTCTATCAGCCTTTTTACATCTGGGGGCATGTTTTTAATAGTTTTCATTATGTTGTAGTATTTCATCATTTGTTCCAGGAACTCAAAACACTTCCTGTCTTTCACCTGTAATGAAGCAATCATTTTAAAGAACTATTTCAGTTTCAAAATGTTATGCTGCTCAGATTATTAACAATTACAATCAAACGTTTTTAGCCTGAACCTCTAATCCAGGCTTTAGCAATGATACAAAAATTTTGAATTTCTATTCAAAAGCCTCTTTTTGATCAATCAAAGTGGTGATTGTTTTGATAAAATAAATCTTCTTTGAACATCTCATCTATAATGAATTTTTTAAAATTATATCTTTGAAAATTATTTCATTATGACTAAGTTTCTTGATAACTAAAATAATTTTTTTATATCTCAAACTTCATAAAACTTTGGTTTTTTGACCCTTTAACTGCTTCCCTGATCATCCAGAGTAACTTGGAGTTAACTTATGAGTAAATGCAGTTTTTTTAAAAAAAATTTACCTTTAATTAGAGCATTTTGCTTTTTATTAGTGTTTTCTCCACTTCATGCTTGGAATTTGAATTACTATTATTCTGACTCTTCAGGTCTATGTAAGTATACACCAAGAGACCTGAACAGACATCATCCCATTACTAAACTAAATTTTTTTTCTTTTTTTTAAAAAAAAAAGAGCTGAAATTTTTATCTGCTAAAATTTACATTCAGAAATTTTTACAAGAATCATACCAGTAATTTGTAATGCCCATCTTCATCAGGCATAGCTCTTGACTTCTTCGACTGATGACTTGAACCTATGTATGAAGAAAGCAATACTTTAAATTCTGAAATTTGAGAATAAATACAAAACCTATTTAGTCGGTTATCAAGGATGAGATTTTAGGTTGGAAAATGATAACTCTTAACAGCTCATTATATGAAATTTTGCTTAGTACTTTATCATTATTTTTTACAGTTTGTTGAAAAGTAGCATATTTTAATTGCTTAAAAAAATCAAAAACACTTTTTAAAAATTAAATTTATTGAATAGGAAGCAGTAAAAAAAATTCACAATATTAGGAAACATGAGTTCTAACATGGAACTGGCATCACAGATCACAAGAAACATAAATAGTGTATATGGCTCTAGAGTAAGCTTTAGTGTTGGTTAAACACAGATAAATCACTAAAACCATTATATTGCCTGCTCCCCCTAAAAAAAAGTGTGTGTATTTTTACAAATAACTATAACAAAATTAAAGGAGTTGAAACATCTTTATCACCCTCAAAATTTTAAAAGACCAAACAGCAACTTCTTTCTACAATTTTGGCAACCTACTAGAAAACAATTAGATTCTGAAAATGCTGTAAAAGCTGGCTTTCCAAGAAAACATTGATTCTTGACTCCCCATGGTTTTATCATTTGAGCAACCTGACATTTACATGGGATTAGTAAAGATAAAATATGGGTGCATACTTTGAAGGGAATAGTTCCTTATACCTGTAAGCTATAATCCAATTTTGCCTCCCCCCCCCTATAAATTTCATACTTGAGGACCCTAATATAATGTGTATTCTAAGCATCAGGGGTGATTGTGAGCTCAAGTCAAAATTCCGGAAAATTTCTTGTTAAAAAAAAATTAAATCGAAAAATTTGAAAAAAAAAAAAATTAAACAAGGTTTTTTCCTTTTTCTCAATATTTCTCAGTTTAATTAAAGTATATTTAAAATTTTACACATACCTATACCATTTACACATACCAATGATGTACAGGAGAAGTAATTGAAATTTACAAATATATCTTTCTTTCTTGAGTTTATGATTATAATAACTTACTGATATTCAATATTCTAAAAATGAATATTTATCTTGAATATAAGTTTATAAAGTATCTCTCTGGCTCTCTCTTACAAACAAATGAAATAAACTGTGTTTTTAAGTTCCACCTTTGAAAATTTGATTCCCGGAAACTTTTGTGATAAGTGATTTTTTGAAACGTCTGAACCTTAGATCTCCGGAAACTTTCAGATCACGGTTAGCAAAAAATCCGGATTTTTTCCGGAGCACAATCAGCACAACAAAATTCAATTTACGTATTTATATTACACTTTTAATTCCACAAATTTCATACTTGACGACCCTAATATGAGCATCTTAAGCACAAAAATAAAAAATTTACAGGTCATATTTTAAGAAAGTCACTCACAAGTAGCCTTAATGTGGGCATCAGAAGGCAAGTGAAAATAAGACAGACCGATGCTAACATAAAGAAGACAAGCTGGTTTAAGGTAAGATTCTCTGCTGCTGACCCACAGAGCTCGCGCAGGAAGTTAAGGGCCTTATGTGCCACTGGGTAGGTAGAAGAATAATGCAACATAAATGATTAAAACTTACAAGTCAAACCAAATTCAAGAAAATATTTATCGAAGTATACAAAAATATAAAGGAAATAGCCATCGAAAATTTCATTTAGCTCTTCTCAGAAACCAAGGTCCATTAATATGCTAATAATGAAAATATATTTTTGTTATTTCGTCTAGTGCTTTCTTTTTTCTTCTCCTTAATTTGTCCATAACACATCATTGCTTATGTTTAACTCCACAATGCCACAAAATTCTTTTGGCACATTATTCAGTAACAGTCTACTTGTAACAGATTTTGGAAGATTTATAGAATCAAAGTTTTAAATTTATTTCAAGAAATCACAAAATAACTATTATACCTGGTTCAACTGTCCCCTTCTTTCTTTTTTTGGATGGACCCGATTGTTCTTCTTCGGTCTTGCTGTCACGGCCAGGGCAGGCACAGATTTTTACATCTATCTTTTGCCTGCCAATGCACTGATTGCTAAAAGAGATATAGACCAATGAAATTTTTTTCAATACCGTAAATTTTTTTTACATCAACAGACTCATCGAGAATATTTTTGCGCACATATGCTAATTCAACAACCGTCACTTCCCATTCGAGAAAAATTGAAGATCTTAGTTGAAAAGAATAAAAAGCATGTTAAGTAACATTTCAGCAACTAGTTAAAAGGATCAGTAAATTAAATAAAATAAGTAGATACCTAATAAATATATAAATACTTAAGGATAACCATAACGTTAGAGTAAGTGTTTAAATCGTAGTGTCGATGAAATGTTATTCAAATGCAGTTCATAATCTTTTTTTTTAGAAAAAGCAATTGTCAGTAAAAATTAAGTAAAATTCATAGTGCCCATTATTCCTGAAAAAAATATTAATTACACATTCTTAAGATTGGTTATGACGAGTCAGATAATCTAATTCTAGATGCAATTACCAAAGGTTCCCGCAAAAATTTCTTAAGGGCTCCAATCATAGAAAATATTCAGTAAAATACCTCAAAAATAGTGCTTTTTTAAAATTTCTTTTAACAAGTGCAGAGTAGGAACTTTCATAAGTAATTTTAATAATTTATTCAATGCTAAAAAAAAAAAAATTTTTTTTGTTGCAAAAACCATGCTTTATAATATATGATAAATTATATATAATATGAGAGCAGGGGTCTGTCCCGAAATTTTGTGAAAGGTCCGTTTTTGTAAAATTGTGAAAAAATTACTCGTAATTTGCGAATATAAAATAAATGTTAAGTCACATTCTTTCAGCTTTTCAAAAAACTTTTTCAAGGAGTTTTTAAATTGTAAAGACATACAAGATTATGCACAACACTGTAAAGTTATAATTAAAAAATTAAAATTTTAAAAAATAAACAGCAATTGCTGCTACTAAATTAGAGATGCAACATACAAATATTTGGTATTTAGCCTATACTGCTGTACGCAGAATATTCATTTTGGACGAATAAAGGAAGAAGCATCTGCCGAAGACAAAATTTAGTTCGTTTACAGCTGTGGGTGAAGGGTCTGTTTTTAAGTTAAAATATTTTGTGAAGGATCTGTTTTTATGAAACGATATTTTGTGATGGTCCGTTAACGGACCCAAATTTCTTCTTTACAGACCCCTGGAGAGCATGAAAAAATAAGTTAGATGATCAGCTTAATTTTATATATTATATAATTTTTTTTTTTGTTGCAAGATGCACCACATAAACCCATTATGTCATCGTATCTGGAAGTTTGAAATATTCATGAATGGACTTAATTTCATATCATTGCAATATTAAATATATATATAAATAATTTTGTTTGAAAACATAACATAGTCTTTTTCCTAGAGGTGCAGTCTAGACTCTGTTCTGGAAGTTCATGACAATTAATGATTTATCAATGGAATGTATTATGAAATACCCCTAATTTGCTATAAAATTTATTATAATTTTAAAAAATTGTTATACAACAAATAAAAAAAACAACACCATCTAAGACTTTATTAGACCATCAAATCGAAAACTTAAGCTCCCCCCCCCCACGACTTTTCAGGAATTTTGATTAAATTCCTTGTCCTGCAGTCACAATTGATCATTAACATCAAAATAAATATGACTTAAAAGAAAACAAACAGAGAAAAAAAAATATTTACTCTTTTTCAAGTGAAAAGACAAGCATCAAAGGTCTTCGATTTGGGCCAGGACAAGATCCAAAACACGCAAACTTATAGATGTAAGTAGAAAAATTTTGACCAGCTAGAAAAAAAAAGAAAGAAAAATAAACTTATTTTGTTAATTAAATAACAATAGGCTAATAAATATGCAAATGTTTTAAAATTATATAGGATCTAACGTGGAGGATTATCGTATGGTATGATAACACTGTATCTCTTAGTAGTTGGGTCTACTTCATAAATGGCCATAGGACTTTCACATCTAACAAGGTGTTCAGCCTCTGGAATATCTATATCAAAAAGAGAGCAAGATTAAAAAGTTTTAGTAGCTATTAAAAATTAGTTAACATAAAAAAATATGAAGAGAAGAAAAAATACAATTGATAGGGTAAAATCATTTTCCAATCTTGTTTGAAGCAATGAAATATTTTTGTGCTTTGAAAAATATTTATAGTAATAAGGAAAATAATATTTATAGTTATAAGGAAGTAGTAATAACTATTTAACTAATAAAAAACATAATAAATATAAAAAAAAATCAAACCTTGATTTTATGCCAAATAATGAAAGTTTTTTTAATATTAACACAATTATATATTTAAAAAAAAAAAAAAAAAAAACTATTACCAAATGAAAATTTTAAACAGCACAATTGCTATTACATTAACACAACAATGATATTAAAAAAATAAATAAATAAAAACTTTTATCAAATTTGTTATTAAGGTAGAAGGTAGTTAAAAATGATCATTCAATAAAAAAAGAAAGAGAACATGTAATAGTTCATATGACTTAAGACGTTTCATACTTATGTAATAATTTGATAATTTATTCATATATCCTACAGAATTTAGTTACTTTGATTTAGGATTATCATAAAATCAAAATGTTTTGTAAAAGTCTCAATACAACCTCACTGACTTTAAAAAAAAAAAAAAAAAAAAAAAAAAAAAAAAAAAAAAAAAAAAAAA